AAATTGGGAAGACTTCATGTTTTAACAATGAAAGAGGGCAATGCACTTGTGTGTATGTGCATGTGTGTGCAGTTGTGAGAGTGTTGTCATGCAATCATAATGTGGAAGCTGAAAACAAGGCAGGAGACACAGAATAGTCTCTTTTACTTGCTCTCTCTCATTCATGTTCCGCTTTTATAGAGTATGACTGCTAGTGTGTCTGAGCTGGCATGAATACACACATGCAAACACACTCTAGAGTGAAGACTGATACCTCTCAGCTTTGATTTGATGCCTCAGAGCTTTGGGAATATTCAGTGTCATGATGAGATGCCTTAGCAGCAATGCTAAGTGTGTATTTATGTGCGGCTAATGTTAACTATAAATCAAAGCAGTCTACTTTAGGTAATAATAGATATAACATGTAAAGATGATACATTTAATACAGTGATTTGTATTACTGTGACATTCACTGTAATGGCACATTAAAATACCATCCAAAAAGCACAAAGGCGTCTGGGGTTACAGGCCAAACCCAGCTTTCTTCTCTGAAAGCTTTCCTCTGTACCGCACAGTGTAGGTAAGGTATTGTCATCAAGAATTTTGTCTTGTGTATTATTTTCATATTGTGCATTCAATAAAAAATGCACCTAAAAAAAAAAAAAAAAAACATGTTAAACAATCTATTTGTTTTAAAAATAGCTCATTTGTTCCAGCAGTTTCCATCCACTGACAACTTTTATAGCATTTCTCCACCGCATGGTACCAACTTGCTTTAGGTACTGCTTTTTCCACTGCGGATAGTCCTTCAGTGCGGCATTGTCACTATGGCGATGACGCACAAAGCTATCGTGACGTCATCGTCAATGCGACATACACATGAACGATGGAGGATATCTAAGGGATACCAAACAGAGATACCAGACAGGAAGAGAGGAATCGACAAGCTTCATGTTTTTCTATAAACTGATGTCGCTAGGCAACATAGACGGAGTTTATGCCCTATGTTGACAGAATTAATGTAATGCATGTGTAAATAAGATGCGGTTGCTAGCAGACTTATTGAATCTTTATGTTGCTACACTGATATAGATACCCATGTTGTGTGCTACGTAGACAGTATAGCCAAAATCAACATAAATGCTACATTTAAGAAATCAATGGTTTTCATGTTATAATGTTGATGAATTCAATAGCCTATAAATCAACAGCAAAAGCGCTTTTATTTTGAAGTTTCTTGCGTGCACTTCCCGTCCTGACACTGGAGCCGGCCTGAGATCGGAGCCTGCACCGGATGCGACTCCACACTGGAGCTCTGCAGGCAGACTGTCTTGCCTCAGTCGACCATGACGTGGTTTTGCGGGTTGCCGAGCTAAAAATGTATTACAGTAACTAACAGCGATGTTAACAGGCTACAGTGAGCAGTGTAAAGTGCTTGGCTGTCTAAAAACAGTGGGTTTGTTCAGAGCATCCCATCTCGCACAATGATGACACAGTGGTGACTTTCCTCTGACCGATCATATCACCTTTTGGTATCGCCTCAGCTCGCTTGGAACGTCAGCCGAGATCATACCAAAAAGAAAGTACCAGGTGTCAGGTACTAACCACAACTTTTGCCCAATGGAAAACTAACAAGGCAAGTAGAGTTGAGTCGAGTTTGGCTGGTACCGTGCAGTTAAAAAGGGCTTGTCCTAGTTCCAATGCAGGAAAGGAAGAAACATGGTGGAGGTCAGGGAGGCGAATGGGCGTATAAAGAGTTACATTTCAATAGTGAAAATACATGTTTGCACCTCATCTCTTACTTAAAGTTAGTGTTGACCGTTGACTGTCAGTAACCATGATCAACATGTTTAGCTCAACCAAGTCACTTAAACATACCATAAAACATACTGTTATTTCCAGATCCCTAGTTTCTCTAAACTTAACTATGATATTTTAAAAAGTAAACGTAATCTCATTGTCACTACCTATATCTCACACACATTTATTTTTTCCAATGCGAGAAAGTTGTAAATGAGAACCGTTTGGCCCGATGGCACTTATTGTGTGTCAGATATAATATCTTTTTTGGTCTATAGAGTGGAGCCTTAAGGTGGCGATATTGGTGGTTGGTCTTGTTGTCTATTCACCACTTTGGTCCAGAGCTGGACCACATACTTTTGGATATTCATGTTTTCCCTCGTGTATCACACTTGGTCAAAGTTGACAACTTTGTTCACAGGATATAGTGACGTCATGACAGGGTTGGCATTAAATGTGTTGTTCCCAGAGGATGAACCCCACTGACTGTGGTGACCTGCCGACCTTTTCTCTATCGCTACCTTCACACCAAAGTTTCCATCTGGACATAAATTTAAAAATCAGCTGGGCAGAATGCCGTGAAATTCACACAAATGTTACCTACAGCACTGACATCACACGGTAATGCCAGTTTGGATTAGTAGTTAATCTTAAGAATGACTGATTAGATAGTCTCATTTTAGTGCGCCTTTTATTTCTAATTAAAGTGTGAACACCTTGATATTAGAATTTCTTAGAAATGGTCTGAGCCACTGATAAGGAGAGCAACAACACACTGCTGCCTCCCCTTCCCTCCTCCTCCTCCTCCTGTCCTCCCCCTCCAGGCGGATAGCGTGACGGTTCTGTCACGTCGGCACCTGGTCGTACACAAGTGTTAATGTCTCCACCTCAGCCGAGAATCACCGGACCACTGACACCATGCGGGAGTGTGTCTGTGTGAATGTACGAACGTGTGCAGGAGATGTTTTGTCTATCCTCCCCGAGACAGAATGTCTTGCAAAGTTTTTAAAAGGAAGTAACAGCGAGAAAGAGCCTGAGTTAGCACTGTGTATAAATGCATATGTTTCTGTCTGCATTTGCCGTATGTGTGTGTTTCTGTGTGTGTGGTACGGATGCACCAGGCAGGGGTCCCGTCCCCTGTCAGTCAGAAACAACAAGCCAATCATTCCTTGGTTCTAAAATAAGCTCTCCTCCCCCCTTTCCGTCCCCGTCCCCCCCGCCCCCCCCCCCCCTCACATGTGTTCCTCTCCTTAGCACCTCTCACCTTCAGAGTGACAGGAGACAACTGAGGTGGGGTGGGGGGGGGGCACAGAGGAGCTGCGGAGGAAGTGGGTGAGAGCATGAGAGAGTCAGCAAACTCTGGCATGAATATTTGGGGAAGGTGAAAAATCAGGTTGTGAGTAATTGGTTAGGAGCAGCAAAACTAGATAAGCAGATCTGCTTTCCAGTCGAGGGGAATTTGAGAACAAGTACCGCAGGTCAAAATTCATGTCATGCAACTGTGAGAATTTTAATTACAGATTGCACACAGAAAAAAAATGACTTGCATCTCAAAGTCGCAGAGGATTGAGTTTTATACTGCCTTTGTATATTTGGATCATGGTAGCTAGGTGTCAGAATCAGGTCTATTCCTGTAACTTTAGCACTAAACTAACTAAGGAAACTAGCTACTGTGTTTGTTGGTCCCAGGACTGTTATTGTGATTTGTTCTGAGCTCATTGTAAGTTCATACAACCAGTACATGCTCCTCCTTTTTTCCCCGACCCAGAGTGTATAGTGTAAATTTAAAATGGCCTCCATAAAAGTGAGGTTAGAAGTGTTTTCCCCTTTGTACTTTCCTAACTGTGTTTGGAGTCTATTCTTAGACCCAGCCGACACTCCAGTTGTAATTTCGAAAAGCTTTTTATTGCATAGTTATGATATAAAGACGTGTGGAGCAGGATCCAAGTTTTGTATTTTTGTGCAGCTGCTGGAGTTCTTCTGTTATATTTCATTCTTGTTTTTGTAGCTTTACCACTGACAAAGCCCCTTTAACTACCAGGTATTACAAGAGCTGTAGTGTGTAGTGCTTGTGTTATCATTTTCAAAATTGATTTTGGGTACGAGGTGCAGAAGAAATAGTTCTGGGTAATCCAGAGGTTTCTCTCTGTTTTGTCTTGGTTTCTTGGAGACTTTGTGCTTGTTCAGGTGTTAAAACAGGTTAAAATTACAAAGTGTGTGACAGCAAACGGCTCTCTGAAATATCTTGGCTTATGCTTTCAGCAGCAGAGCAGTATGACTGTGGTGAAAGGAAGGCGGGGGTCAATTCTCAGGGATCTGCATGAACTTTGAAACTGTGAGGTCACACACTCGCTGACAACTCAACCACCTGTTGCCACACACACACACACACACACACACACACACACACACACATCTGCACCCTCACCACACAACCACATCCACATTGACTTTCTAGACTATACTTGTAGTTATTAGATTAATTTGCATGGCCACTACACAATAAAGATGATGGAATGTGTTATTTGTTTGTTTGTGTGTGTGTGTGTGTGTGCGTGGGTGTGTGTGTGTGTGTGTGCGTGGGTGTGTGTGTGTGTGTGTGCGTGGGTGTGTGTGTGTGTGTGTGTGTGTGTGTGTGTACCTGGGAATTGTTCCTTCGTCCTGTCTCCTGTGGTATTTTTCATTTCTCTGGCATCTAAAGCCTCTAGAAAAACCCCAGTCTCTGGGTGCTTTATCACACACACACACACACACACACACACTTTCACAGTATGAATGCATTGTTTTTGTTTTCACAGGGAAACATAGTTTTGCGGTTGCTTTAGTAAAAAAAAAAAAAAGAAATATGTGTAAAGAAAACTCACACACATACACTCATAACTGCATCACTCCACCATCTGAACTCAGTTAAATTAGTAAGATATTTATTAGGCTACATATAAACATTGTGTCATGAATAGATATATTTCATTTGGCTCAAAAAGGTCGAAGAACACGTTCATGTCCTCGGCCAAAGGGCGTGCCGATATAGCGCTTGTTTTTGCAAAGAAAAGCTTTTCAGTCAAGTTCAGGGTTGGCTGTTGCCGTACCTGACCCAGTCTAAAGAGCAGAAGCAGGTGCGTTGGGGTTTTTAAGTGCGAAGGGTCACACAGCCCTTTATATACACGTCTCTCCTCCCGCCTGCCCCCCCCCCCCTCCCTCCCCCCCACGCTATATACAGAGCCATCATGTGCAGTTACATCTGTGTCACACAAGGAAAGACGTTCTTTCGTCTGACGTTCAAACAGCATCGAGTAAACATCTGTCAAACCAGACATAGAGGATGTAGATCAGTCCATCATCCGTCACTCTCCCACAGCTTTGACCTCGTCAGTCCACAGCTGTCACCAGGATATCTCCCTTCATTTCTTGTGGCCATGATGTCATCGTGTTAATATGTTACAGGCTCCTGTTGTTGTGTACAAAAGCTTTTGTTTTGTTTTCAGTCTTGACGGTGAAAAGGCCCTGCCTGTAGTGCATAGTACTAAGTGGACATTAGCTGCATATTTCTTAATCCAAAGACTTGATCGAGACTTGAACACCACCAGGCATGTAATGAGAGAATTTAATTGACAAAAGGAATTTAGTCAATATATCCCTTTTTAAAAAGAAAGTTTAAAAGTAGTGTTCGGTAACTCCATTCAAAGTAGGCAAGATCATAGAGGCCATGCTGAATGCTGTGTGAGTATAATAGTTACTGCTTCATGGCCTCCTGCCAGGGGTTGAAGTGCTTGCTTTGAGTGCCTGGGCCAGCCCTGTGTCTGCCCAATCCATATTCAGTTCCAGTTCAGTCACTGGGCTGCGTCGCTTGGACTCCTTAATCAAAGCCGCAGGACATTTCTCCCTTTATTGACCACTGCAGCTGCACGTGCATGTTGTAGACAACATGCTTAAAAGACAAGAAGTATTCCCTTCAGGTAAAGGAGCTTTGACAAGTTCATGTGCTCACAGAAGCAATGGCTTGATCTGTCACTCTTCTGTTTGTCCACAGTTCAGCTGATGATTAATTTGAAGAACTCTCTGAACCAAAAGCAACTTACACCCATTCCAGGGTGTCATTTTGTGTTCGTGACAACCCTAGACGTCCAGAATCAAATTCAGCCCATGTGGGCAGTGACCTGTGAGGCCCCACCTCCCGGCTGGGTACCTGCCAGTCCCAAAGTCCGAGAGTCAAACAAGAAGCCCTGCTGTCCTCCACTGAGCACACCCAGACTGTCCGTTAGAGTCCCACTAGGAGACGAGCCAAGGAAGGCACTCTGATGATTGGCAGTGGCAGCGGCGGCCATTTTATCAGGGCTGGCAGCGAGGCGTGGTGAGGGGGGGAATGTGTAACCGTACAGGCTGTAGGGCGGGGTGTGGAGGCGCAGACCGGCGTAACCCTGCGGGGTGGGGTTGGATAGATAGCCAAGCTGAGAAGCAGGGAGAGGCAGGGAACAGAATCCTTCACCGTCATACGCCGATGGACCTCTGGGAGGGGGGAATGGCTCTGGGGGGTTGCTGTAACGATGGAGGGGGTGTGTCGGTCGACTGCATGCGTAGTCAGGCGGGCTGAGAGGGCAAACCTGGAAAGGTGAGGAGCATGGGGATGTGGAGAGCAGGTGAGATGATGCTCCGACCCCTCCATGAGCTCCTGGGACTCCTACAGAAACAGCCACAAAAACATTAAAAATTTAAATCCACTTAACATCATCCACTTACATGCCAGTATTTACTACTAACCTTGCTTAATAACCTTATTGAGTGGTTCAGGTATCAGTAGTAAGATTTTAAATTTGGGAAAAAGAGAGCACTGGTATGGAATCAGTAATCAATTAGTATCAGCCTTTATCAGGAGAGGAAAAGTTGGATTGGTGTATCCCTAAAAACATTTTTGGAGAAGGTGTGGACAGTTTGGGTACAAAGTCTGACTTTGACAAGGGAAACCACCTTTTCTCACCTCTACCAACACTCATCCTTGATTAGTAACCATGACCACAATCTCTCCCTAACCGTTACCAAGCACCTTTGGAAACCTGACCATACCTGAACCATATCGGTGGCAGATCAGAAAACAGTAACAACAACATCTTTTGGAAACACTCCTGTTAGTTAAATGTTGATTAACTCTACCTTGCTTGGCCATGCCAGGGATGTCCTCAAATGTAAGTGTGCGCAGAGATGGACGCCAGAATGCATAAGACTCAACCAAAGCCTCCAGACCCATCCTGTAAAACACACACACACAAAAACACACGTTAACACACGTAGAGCAGCGTTACAGACGAACCATCATAAGATCACATGGAACAAAACTTCATAGCCAAGCACTTTCTGTAGTCACTGACGCAGCTGCAGCTGCTCTCTCCCAGCATGCCTCACTGGCTCATACATTACGCCAACCACCTGGCGGCCATCTTAGTCGCCCGTGGGGCCTCACTCGCCATCTCCATGGAGACCGCAGGTAATGAGGGGCATAAACGCCGCGTTGCGATTGGCTGCTGCCAGCCGGGTGCTCTGAGGTAATTGCTTTCACACGGCTTTTACGGGCGAATCAGGACGAAGGAGCAGGAAGCCGCAGCAAGGATTTATGAGGTGGGACTCCCCCCACCCTCCCCCACCCCCACCCCCAAAATCTGCTTCTCCCTCCTCCTCTAGGTGGGGCAGAGGGTTGCTGTGGCAGGGTAATGCAAGTGCTCTGTTACCCCTCGTTAGCGTGAGGATAAAAGTCCTCCCCCCCGCGGGGTTGTAGCCACGGTGATAATTTAGACAAGCTGCCCGGAGCGGCTCTGTGTGCACCAAAGCAGCCTATCAGAGCAGGAGTTTATTTAGCAAACTGCTTAACTCTTCCTGTAATATTTAAGGGGAGGCTTTTTTTCGGCCTTCCTGAGTTTAACTTTTATAGGGTCAGCTGTCAGGGTCCCTCGGTTATCCAGTTTGCCGTTCTCTACCTTCCTCCCTCTCAAATTTTCTGTCTCACACGTTCCCTCTCCTCCCCTTTCGCCTGCTCTCCCCGTCGCTCTCCCCTCCTCTCTAACGATTTCTATGAGGCCTCAGGGGAGTGGCTGTTTGGAGACTGTTGGAGTTTTACTGCTGTGTTGTTTTAATGCTGTGTTTATATATGTTTAGAAATGTGTTTATACAGATTTTCTTCAGGACACTCTTGACTTTTATTATTTTGCTGTTGATGTTTATGTTACGAGGCTGGCTGGAATCTGACGCTCCATTTAGGTTTGCAGCTGAGGTTAGATTTTTCCCTCTCAAAGCATGTGCCCGTAACTATGCAATTGTTGGAATTAATGTGCCTTTAAAGTTAGCACATTTAAATGAAAATGCATCACGGATTAATATGATGAAACCATAATAATATGTGCCACGTCTGTTCAGTTTAGTCGATTTCTTTTCTGCCATTCAGGACAGATTTAATGGGAGGCTGCTGCACATTTTCCATTAGAAAAAAATAAATAAATACATAGCTTTGCTCCCCATAAAATCAGACTGAAATAGCCGTGACAAAAACCACAACCAAGCCAGAATATAATGCAGTCATGCATCCCACATTACCCCTAATGCACTAGATAATGTGAAAATCTCTGTGGTTGAAATGAACTCACCGGTTTCTGCCAGAATCTCTGAAGCCTTTGGCAAATGGGTTTCTGTCAATTTTCAGCCTTGTAATCTGAAAGGCAAAATAAGACTCTAATTATTTCCAAAATTTTTGTTAGTACAAAGCCCATGATAACATATGTATAATGGAAGATCCTCTTCCAGCCAAAATAATTTTCCTTGTCTGTAATCTTTCAATCAGGTCTATAAATAAATAAATTCATGTGCATCGTTAGCCGTCGATTGTGCCAGTTGTTTGGATCTGTGCTTGTGTGTTTCCTTGCACATAGCCTATATGTGAATTTGCGTGTGTGTGCGTGTGCGTGTACGCATGTTGGTTAATGTCCCCGGGGCTGCCATGGGGCTGCCCAGGCTGTGGGTGGTGTTTAAGACCCAGCTCTGTGACCCACATCCAAAGGGACTTTTATAGGCATCGCCACCGTGTTCTGACTTCAGCCATCGTGCACTGTGGGCCAGCCAATCCCAGCTAACATCCTACTTCAAAGCTCACACTGACTGGTCCAGTGCAAAAGTCCATAAAAACCGTCAGCTTCGCCTAGCTGAAGACATTGATGTTGAAATTTGGTGGTGCAAAATCCAGAAAATATGAAACAGTCAAGTGATGCAGCTTAAACGAGCAGCACCATCATAAAAATCTGTCCAATAAGCCTGGTAGAACTGGTTTAACACTCTCTAGGAAAACTGCTGGACCTCTCTCTCTCTCTCTCTCTCTCTCTCTCTCTCTCTCTCTCTCTCTCTCTCTCTCTCTCTGTGTTTGGCACACACACATAGACATGCATGTGGACCCAGACTCAAATAGGAATCTGTCCTTAAAATGCAAACCAGACCAAGATGAGAATCATAAAACTCTTATCATGCAGAAATTGAAAAAGGTTATTTTCCTCTTTAAAATCTCATAGTCCTGTTCTGTATGAAACTCATAGCTGAAGAAAAGACACCAGTGTGACCTGAAGAAATGTGTGTTTTAAACATTTATCAGTCATCGCTAACTAGTAACTACAAACAGTACAAAAGTACAAAACAAACAACAGTATCTATCAGCAACAGGGCCGTCAGTGCAGCACCACATTGTGGGATTCTTGGCCACAATGGCTATTTCAGTGTATGCGGTTCATCCAGTGGTGTTGGTTTTAAGTGTTGTTGTGTTTGTGTGGAGGTCAGCTGTGTTACCTGTTGATTCTGGTACGCTGTGACAGTGGTGAACACAGTCTCAGGGAAGGAGAAGGTACGAGTGCCTTCCCCAGCAGGGATGGCTCTCACTGGGGATAGCTCCTCTCCACACTCCTTCCGGATCACATGGACGCGAGGCTGGTACTTGTGCATGGAGTGCAGAATGATCTGAACAGGGAGGGAAAAATTATTCTTTCAGTCTTAAAGTACAGGAACAACAATTTCATATGATTCCATGCTGTAAAACATGATTGTTGGATAATGAATGTGGGCACAGATGCACAGATGCATGCACCTGCACACACAAACACAAACACAATATGTTACATCAGAGACTTTTACTTTTTTTTTTTTTTTAAATATTGTAGGCTACTTCTTGTGATTATTAAGAAAATGCAGTACATTTACTGTCTTGTTAAATTAGATTTTTAATGAAAAGGTTTACAATGATTTTAACAAAATTATCACACCAAAAAATATAAAATCTAAATATCATAATGTCGATCAAATGACATTAAATAGGCGATAGTACGGTAAATATGTGTAGGCCTGTCGCAAACATATAATAATATAGAAATATTTGTACAGTTTTCGTTGTGGCACTTACATGTCCCTGGTCGTCGAGCTCGTTGTTGGTCAGTTTCAGTTTGTCGAAGCTGACCACCTGACGCATCCACGTCTCTCCTGACGCCGGCGAGTCCGGATGAATGTACACTCTGGGCGGCACAGGGGAGTCCGCGTTCCCCGCTACCATCCACTTGGAGCTGTGGTACACGTACCTTCACAATTCACACAAAGACACGGGGGGAGGCAAATGAGCACAATATCCCAAGTTTGCATAAGTTTTCGTCCTTAGCTACTATTCACTTCACACAACGGCGTGATTTGGCGAGGAAAAAATGGCTTTCGCGATTTTATCACCAAAGATCAGCATTAATCCCAAATAATCTCCATGAGATGTTTTTTTTTTTTTTAAAGCTGGAGAAAGACAACAGTGGACATCAGTCACTGAAATCTACTTTAAATAATTCCATCAAAGTTGTAAATATAATTCAACTCAGATGTGTAATATAACTGTCCTGCTCTCACTAAAGATGACCTACCTGATTAAAGGAAAGCCTATAGGTTGTTTTAATAAACACCACAGATGAAACACATTGTTCCTCTGTGCTACATTTTTTTTTATTCAGATGTTCAACAAAGGGCCTGCCAACTCCTTTGACTTGTAATTAGTCCAAATCATTTACCTACAGCTAAAGGGATTAGCCATTAAATATGCCATTACCTAAAATGATGTATATATACGTTTAATGGCCTTCAGCTACAAACACAGCATCTAATTAGTTCCTCATATGGCTGAAGGTGTGTTCATCACCTGCTGTTCAGCAGTTTGGTTGGAATAAAAACCTGCAGACTCCGCTTCCTCCCGCGCTGTCGCCCGCAGCTCTGAACTGCGACTGCACTAAACATTGGTATCTATTGTATTATGTGCAATATCTTGTGAGTGATTGAATAACATGTTGTCTACTTTATCACTCATCACTCCGCCACGCCGGTGAGAACGTGTTCACATCGCCTGTAACCGGGTCTTGAAAGTTTGAAATGGCAGAGCCACAGTGTGTAGCATGCAAAGACTTGGCTGCATTGACGCCGCAGCAATAACACACTGTTTTCTTATGCATCATAACGACATTTGTTGGTTTGACCTTCCAGGGTGGAGAGGTTAGGCATCCAAAAGGCCTTTTCCAAAAGGGACGGTAAAACCGCCGTGACAAAACACCGGTGCCAGGAGCCATTTGTGGACAGAGAGCTGGGGTTTGCACAATTGAAAAATCTCGGGTTGTCCCAGGAGCAGTGAATATGGAGGCTAAATTAAGACAAAAATGACTGTAACCTTCCCGTGTCTATAGGATGTGCGTGCGAGGTGATATAATTATGCCCGAAGATATTTACATGCAGCTCCGGTATCTCTTTGATATTCATATCACGAATTTGTTACTTTATTTTGACTTTTGTCGAATTTCAAAATAAGGATCACAATTTGTCTGTCGCCTCTTTTAGCACTGGCATAGGCCTGCATTGCGCACGTGTGTGCGCGCGTGCTTTGCGCGTCTTACCTGTATCGTTTGTTGTCCACGGGGATTATATCCATAGCAATGTAATACTGCTGGTGTGGGTCCAAGCCCGTGATCTTCACTCGCATAGCGGGGAACATCCGCCTGAGAGGGAAACCAAATAACATGTGAGATCCCAACACTAGCCTACAGTCTGCATGGATTTACAACACAGTCATTTTACTTACAGACTAATAATCATAATCATAGTCATATTAAGAATGGATAATAATAGCTCAAGAAAAATAATAACAGTATACAGATAATAATATATAATATATAATATAATACAGAAAATGCTGTTTAGGCTGTCGTCTTGGTTAGGGATGTTAGATCTTTGAGTAATTATTTTTTATGATCAATTCAGCAAAAAAAGTTGATTTCCCTTAACGTATACCATTATTTAATATTTAATATTTCGTGTTTTATGTATGTTTTTATTATAGGCCCAGACATAGGCTATTTTCGTTTTTATGATGTACAGTATAGACTAATTCTTTCTTCAGCAAAGTTTATGTCTGGGCGTTTTTAACATTAGGCTACCCATCTGAATATGCACTCGCTCTTACCGTCCAGCCTTGGTGATAATCATTTCCGTGCCAATCTCGTGGAAGCGTTTCCACAGGTCTGATCCCTGTAGGTCCACGCGGGCCTCCTCTCCGGTACCGTTTACCGGAGCCGGGCAGAGAGCTGCGGGCTGCGGGCTCTCCAGCAGCGCGTCCTCGCTCTCCGCTGCACCGGAAAGAGCCGAGATTGACACGTTTTAATAGTAACACACTCATCCAATCCGAGCATGGTTCACCTACAAGGTGTCACTCTTCAAGACATTAAGTCCTGTGACTTAGAACATTTTAAAAACACACAAACATTACAGCAGGACTAATGTCCGCTGATATAATGTATAAAACAAGATTTAAACACCATCATTTCACATATAGCCTTTATGAATATGACTTATTATGGATATTATTGCAACCGTCCAATTGCAATGACTATTTTCAGCAGCCTACGAAAATGTCACAAATTTTACTGCACAAGTTATTTTATAGCTGTTATTTCAAGAAGGTAAAAATGCTTTTAAGTAGTCTAATGTTTATGTTCATGTTGAATAGTGCTGCATTACAAGCTCGGAATCTGTAAGATTATTATAGTAATATATGTCTGTTTAAACTAAGGTCACTCTGCACTTATTACTGAATATATCCACCCTCGTATATTGTGATCCAGTGGAAAAATGGTACGTTTACATTACACTCATTACTGATCACCAATTTAATTTAAGTCGCAATATGGACTCTATAATGATTTTCATGATGGAGTACTTGAGTTTAAATCAGTTTTAATACAGAGAGGACACCCCCAGTAGTATTTATGTGTCTCACCTCTGTTGTTATTTGCGCTGTTCAGCACAGGCCTCGCCAAGTGGTGGAAATTTATGCACATTAGACATGGGCCTAACAAGCCAAACTAACACAAAGACAAATCCTCGGCCAAGGGCATTTTAAACTTGCAGCAGATTTAAATCCTAATTTGTCAGGGCCGGACGGTTTATGCTTTCTGCAGACCTCTTTGCATCCTTACCGTGGCAGTTTCCCTGTCTTTATACGCTGCTAATTGGCGTGTTTATGATTGCAACACAACTCATAAAGCGTCTCACATTAGTCACACTCACACCACTCATATTTACAAGGCCAGGGCCGTGATATGATATCACATTTCCAGTGTCTGGCTCTGACCCCGCTCTATCATTGTTTTACTTTGTAACCCACATCTTTTGCGTCTGATTACTGAAGTTTCCTGGACAAGAAGCAGAGGAGAGCGTGAATAATCCTGAAGCAAAGATCTGTGCTGCTTCTTATTATGAAAGAAATATCAGCGAGTAGCGAGGAGCTAGTTTATTTTTTCCATTAAAATATAGCAACAGGATAACACATGTGCAAGACCTGTGGCTGAAACATTAGATAATGTGCAGTATACCAGTACAAAGCTTTTAAAACAAATACAATCTACACTGAGAGAGTAAGGTTTAATGTGACATGGGCATTATTTAAAATTAATTTCACCTTTTTTCGTGGGTAGCCTACTACTAATTTGGCAATGCTGCCATTTCGAGGGCCTATAGGCAGGTAGCCTAACTATGTCACGAATAATTTTATTATTGTTATTAATATTATTGTTATTGTTAGGCTATTGTCTTTATCTGTTGTTGTTATTTACTTACGGGATCCGTCACTTGCACATTCAGCCTCGCTGCCCCGGTCGCTGGTGCACGCTCTGTCGGCCCGCGGCCCCGGGCTCCCGGGTAGATCAGATACATCAGTTCCGTCCTCGTACCCGGGGGACACAGCATCTCCTCCGGCCGTCTTGCGTCTCTTCTCCGCTCCTATCAACGCCTCTACCGAGAAGGCATGAGCCTTGACGCTCATCGCGCACGGGGACCGCCGCTTCTCTGCCATTTCTCTCGGTCTCGGGACAGAGGAAGGAGAGGAAGGAGACGGCGTCACGAGCTTGCAAGGAGCAAAAAAAAGTTCAAAACACAGGCAGTCTCAAAAAACAAGAGAATCCACGATGACAGTCTAGTGCTCTCGGGGGGACGGGTTCTCCGTCCTCCGGCCGGACAGCAGAGGAAGCGGAGGGAGCCGGGAGGAGCTGTACTAATGTCTCCGTTATCCGTGAGAGCCGTGCGGACTTTTGGAGAGTGTCAACAGCCGGAGCTTAGAGGAGAGCCGGAGAAGGGGACCTGTCAATCACAACATAGAGCAACCAATCACGAGCAGTCACAACCCCCCGGAACTTTTCCCTGGTCCCGCCTGCTGAGGGGGCCGCTCGTGCCGCCTTATGTGGTAAAAGTAGAACTGGAGAATGAATCATGTCTTCAGGCGAAGGGGCGCGAGGAGCATCTCTCTGTGGCATTGCGCGCATTTTCACACACCGATCCGACATGCTCTGCATATCTGGCCATCAGTAGCCTCTGCACGGTGGACACTTGTGGCCCTCAACCTGACAATAAGCATTTCTTACAGCATGTTCGTGTTTCACACAAGAATTAGACTAAACCTCCAAATGTGTTTGTGCATGTGATAATCATTAGGCCCATAGGCTACACTGACGACAAAATAAATGTGGGTAGGCTGCTGGTACCCTATGTTCACTGGTACATGTAGAAAGAAAATATATTTAAGTTTTTGTGTATGTTTTTTCTTATGTGCACTCAACAGACATCCTAAAATATCTATATTAATATATTTAGGCTATTATTAGTCATCTGTCATCTCCTATTCCTGTTGAACAACCCACTGTTGCAAACAGCAGAAACATTCACACACAGCAAAACCTCTACTTCATGCAATTATAACAAGCTGTGCTTAATAAACAAAATAATAAAAAAGATTATGCAGTTTGATATTAGCATAACATCATCCTTGACTTGAATGCTCAAACAAATTCCAGTCCTTGTTTCACTGCAGCAACACAAACGTTCTGCTGAAATCAGACAAAGTACCACAACATGAGAAGCTGCAATTTCACTAATTTCACTAAAATAAATGTGTAGGTTAATATAGCCTAATTTATTAATGAAAACCGTAATGCAAGGTTTAAAAGCCTAATGAATATAGACTCAGCCTATAAATACATTAGATGTCACTTGTATGATAATAAATTATTATCATAGGGCTGCAGTACAGTGTTATTTTGGTGTGAAAATGTGAGCAGCAGCCTACATAAAGTAACCTGTAACAACCATATTCAATGTCCAGTTAAGTCAATGAATGGAAAATGGGACATAGTCATGATTAATAGACTACATGATAGTCAGAGGATCATGAAAGTGATTTAAAATGCAACCAGCTGAAGTGAATTGAGAGATGACTTGGATTCTCTCTTCACGCGCGTTTCCTCCGCACTTTCAAGGCCGAATACGTGGGGAATGTGTCGGTGTGGGTGCGTGTGGAGGCTCTAACATATGGAGAGGGAGAACCTGGCTATAAATAAACAGGGCAGTGTGGTCGTGTGTGCGTGTGTGTTTTTGCGCGCGCGCGCGCGTTTCAGTTTAGAGTTTAATATGCTACATGACGATGCACCACTAACCGGTAGCTTGATTAACCCGCTAATTTGTTACTTAGCAACCTCTTTTATCCACATCAGTATTGAATTATTTCTTGAAGTTTCCTTGTTGCTTCAGTGACGTTTCCTCCGCTAAAATCACTGTGTAAAGCTCGAGGCCTCTCGTGGTTTGCTGGTTAAATAAACAACACGTCGCCATCGGTTATTGGCATAAATGCAGTGTATATGGTTGGACGTCAAGCGGAAGGCCCGTGTCCATATCCGTGTGGGTTATCAGATCAAAAGCCTTGTGTTTCACTTCCCGTGGGTGTTTAAAAATGTCATATTTCTTTATAACTCCATGAGAATAAAATAGGTCAAGCTTCGTTTGAAATACAGTTTGGTTTCGATTCAATATGAGCATAAAGTCGCATGACTAATATTTGCATTGGCATAAATATCCTCTAACCTTTAGAACTAAAAGGTTTTCTCTTATATAGATAATCAAAAGACAGATTTAGTGATAGCAGGATGTTAACGATTTATGTCTCCACTTTGTGAAATTTGAACTATTTCTGTTTTACAATCAGTTTATACATAAAGAAAAACTTACCACTTTAAATTATATCCCATAGCTTATATTTATTTTAATATATAAAGAAATGTGACAAAAGTTGAGGCATAAGCAGAATTTTTAACTGGTGTTCCGTTACATTTTACAGTTTTAAAACGGGCGATAATGTATTATGTATGTAATTGTGCAAATGTATGTAATTAACAATATACAAAAATTTTTTAGAACAACCCTCATCTTCCTATATTTATCGGGGGGGAAAAATTCAACTTTTAGTGGGAAAAATACAAAATCCGTCCTGGTATCTAAATAAATAAATAAATAAATAATAATAAACTAATAATAATAATAAAAATACTAGTAGTAGTAGTAGTAGTAATGCTAGCCTACTTACATTTCACGGCTTATTATTTCTATTATATGACATACAATAATTATCTCATATTTGATAAATATCAAGCTACACCGTGGCCTTTTAATAATTTGGATAAATGGCTCCTGAACACCCGGGACTCTGGTTGTGATTAGGCTTCACTTCAATCTCATGGCTGTTAATAGTTAATAATCAATCAATCCTCACCTGGAAAAACATTTTAGTTGCAACGATGTTTGGTGTCGCTTTACAGATAGGCCTACATGTGCATTTGTAATAAAATCACATTGTGTAAATATAGGCCGATATATTTTAAGTTTTTAATTTTTCAGTTTTTCGTTAGCAGGTGCACTGGTCCTTGCACCTTAGAGATCACTGTGCCATCTGCCGTTTGTGTGCGACTCTTTAATATCTCATAACTTAATAGTAATTTACATCGATTTTATAAGAATTAAACATTAATACAGAACATCATAACTACCCGGGAATATCGCTGCAGAATACAGTGACTGAAGAAAATAAAACCCACTCGCTCAAACACTGGAAGCTTCTTTTCTCCACATTTAGACTAATTTTCGACTCCCTATAGGTTGTCTAACATCTTGAAACAAAGTCACTTTTATGGGCTTATGGCCAAAATGACCGCAGAGCGTTTAGAGGCAACGGGATTGTGGAAGAAGTTTATCTGTAAAATATACAGGCCAGTTTTCTTTCTTTGTGGCCAGGCCATGATTCACAGTCTTCCTGCCTCTAAAAATAGTGGGAAGCTCTCTGTCGCCGAGTCTGTCTATTCTGTCTAATAAGGATTTGCTTGTCTGGCAGCTCTATACATCCTAAACTGTATTTTGCACACGAATAATTCTTTGGCATTGAATGTGTTTTTATTCTTTATTTTTTCTCTTATTTCTTTCAGACTGTGAGAGTAAGACCCTCTTACACAGACTGTGTCGCTTCTGTTTAGTGCCTCAATTTGTCAGCACCTGAATTTGACTGGATAAAGCTAAGCTGAGCGTTAGTCTGCAGCATTTATCCGTGTATGGAAAATTTAAGAGAGGCCATTTTTGTTAAACTGGAGTAAATAGGTTTCCCGCGTTAGCTTCCTCTTCAATTCATGAAACTGAGTGCTGCTGCACCACTATACCCGTCTCGAGCTGCTTTGATTTATTATTTTGTGCGCGTGGACAATTAACGAATTAGCTGAATTTAACTGAAAACTAAAAATTATTATTATTTTTTTTAATAAGGCTTATTATCATAATAATAATAGACAACATTTTATGGATATTATATAACAGCACAATTTAAAAAAAAAAAAAAAAAAAAAAAAAAAAAAAAAAAAGGCCAGCATTAGTTTTAGACGAGCAATTAGCCTCAGTCACGTGCATGTGCGCGTTCACCTGGTGGTTTTTCTGTGGGCGTAATTCAGCCAATCAGAACCCAGCCCATTCATACAAGTGTCGTTTCAAAAATCCATTTTGTAACTCCGAAGGTAGGCGTAACCCACTGCGCACTGAATAGGCTGTTTATTAAAAACCTTTGACATAATTACCTGTGAGCTTTGAAGGGACGCGGGGTAGGGTAGAAGTGGCGGGGCAGGGGAGTCTGGGTAATACATTGTTAACAGTTATTTAGCGCGTGCTAATGGGCACGTGGATCACTGCCAGGGCTTTTATGGCGGAAGTGGCATGAAGGAGTGTGGGTTTTTGTGTGTGTGTGTGTGTGTGTGTGTGTGTGTGTGTGTGTGTGTGAGAGAGAGAGAGAGAGAGAGAGAGAGAGAGAGAGAGAGAACGTGAGAATGAATGACAGAGAGAAAGAGACTGAGAAAGAAAAGAGAGACCTACATACAACGCATTGGTTATATAGTGGTTTCAGGAGTGATGTCTGTCCACAGTCTTGTAATGTGTCATTCTGATCTTTCCTGAGGACAGGATGGTTTAGTGCTACAGCTGACCTGGGAAAAGAGTGTAGTCAAACTGAAGACAGATATATATGATATATACAGAGAGAAACGCAGCATCCAGCTTCAGACATCTGCCTCCCTCCAGGTTCAGGGGTCCCTCATCACCCCTGCAGCTCGTCCTGGGAGGCCGAATCCCAGCCGTGGACTGCCGGATCCCCTGTATGGCTCCGCTGGGAGAGTCATAACTTGAACTCCATGCCTATTTTGCAGTTGTGCCAGCACTGCAAAGCAAACGACTGGGGCCCCCGCAAGCATATCCTGCTTATGCTGGCCGAGAGTCACTCATCATCCAAGTGAAGTGACCCCTGCTCCCTTTCATAAAGTTAACCTTCCATTGAAAACGTGGTATTTACTGACGCGCTTGATAGAAATTGATGGATCTATGACATTTATTGAATTTTTTTACGAGCTGGTTCTGGTCTTGACGCCGTTTATTCAGGCCTCTGTGCGTCTCGGATGTTATTCAAGTTGAACTCCTGCTCTGGCTGCCATAGCTTGTCTCGTACACACAAGCAGATGCACACAGTCACACACACACACACACAGACAGAAAGAGAGAGACACAGATGACTCAAGCACTGTGCAACTCTGAGTTACAGCCTGAAACTGCTGCACTGGCGGATTCATCCTCTTATTCACAGATGAAAAGTGCATCGCTGAGCTAAGCCAGGTTGTGGCCTGTCACTACACAGCCTGTCACATCATTATTTTAATGAGATCAAACTGAAATAC